TCTCGCGCGCGGCCATCGTCGCCGCTTCTGAACCGCTTACACCGCCGCCAGCGGCAAGCCGAGAGAGAGAAACGTCCGAGCGGAGAATGATATCCTTACCGATCCGAACGCTTCACCTGGTATGGATAGCTCGCCTAAAATGCGGTTTGGCACCCGTCGGTACTTCGAGAACGCGACGCCCTCGACAGATCCTGCACCCTCCACCCCCTTTCCATTCCGCAACGCGTGTCCCTCTTCTCGAAACTCGAGTGCCGATTCTATTTGTCAGGAAACTCGTCCCCTTTTCTTTTTCTCGTGCGCGCGTGTCTCGTCTGCCTCGCGCGGCCTCGCGTTCGCCTCCTTTTTATCAACCGATGGCCAGCCGAGGACCAGCCACGAAATACGAACGCGTGTTGGCCAGTTTCGCCAGGCATTCGAGGTTGATCCGGCTGGCTAGAAGAACAAGAGATACTGTTATCCGCGATTAACCGAGAGGGGAGAGGAGGATACGATGTACGAAAGTGTGCCCCTTCCCTCCGTGGTAACAGAAAACAGGGCGAAGAAGAGGAGGACGAGGAGGGGCAGGAGAGAGGGGACAGAAGAGACAGAGGACCGAGAGCGGTTCCGTGGGCCTAGTCCCCCTTTTAGCTGATGAATGGGCCCAAGGCCCCTCCTTACTTATGCGATGCGTGCCCCCGACGGCATACATCACTGCCAGCTAACGTTTTTACGGGGCACGATGCGAGCAAGAATATGATTACGCGCGTTAACATTCTTGGAATATCGTTGGTCCGCGGTCGTTCCGTTCAAGGATCCGTCAGCCATTCGTCTTTTTCCTGAAGAAGGAGCACCAGCACCGGCACCAACAGCGGCGGCAACAGCAGGTTCGTATCGACTGGTGGATCATTAGATCCCCGCGCAACGGAACGGCGCGTGAATTACGCGCATCGTCGAGTAACTCTCGCCTAGATTCCTCCCACGACTTTATTACGCGTGAAATTGGCGGACGATCGCGCCGGCGAGCCGCCGGTTTCAAACTCGCGAGCAACCAGCGCCATAAATTTCATAATTAACTGGCAATTATGATAATCGGCCGAGGGTAGCGTGTACTCCTTCCTCGTTCCAGCCGGATCGTTGATTATCGCGCCGATCTACGCGCCCGGTCTCCGGTATAAATTCTCGAAGAAGCGGCGCGATCTTTCGAACCATCTTTCCCGAGAAAACTTGGCGGTTGCCTCTCCAGCAGTCGGATCGTGCGACAATGTGCGAAACGAAATCGGTATCTGTACCGATATAAATTTCAACACGATGCTGTAGCGATACTTTTCTAAATTTCAAATTCAAAAAAAAGATTCGTCATTACGTTTGTATAATCGCTTCATCTTGGAACTACTACTTTCACAGTCTTTCTTCACATGATTTGTTGTATGCCAGCATGTGGAATAATTCGATTAATATTCATATTCGTATGTTAATTTGTACGATCATTTTGCTTTTCAAAGTATCACGCGACAAATCACGTGCGATATCCTTGTAAATTGTTCAACTTTGTCATACGTCTGGAGAAAGGAGGGATATCGTATAATTTATTCCTGATATCTGAATGATGTTTACAGACATTCACTATCCCATCTGCTTGTATTTCTATAAATAAATATATGTAGTTTAATAATATAATTGTCCTTCGCGTCTGCCAAGAAAAATTCGACAGCAAAGGAATGTCAATTTCTCATCTCGTAATCGCAATTCAATTTCTTCCCCATTTTCGCCAAAGCTATTCAGCATTCAGAATCGAGACAGTAGCGATTGAAAAAGACAAAAACTCGTTCCTCTTCTCGTCACGCGTCCGACCAAAGCCAACGGGCCGTCGCACGCCGACGAGTCCCCGGCGAGAGGAAATCAGTTGTCGTACGATCGACGATTTAGCGACAAAGGCCTAGAAACAGGAGTACCCCGAAGTTGAAGCTGTCGTCGTAGGAATTCTCTCTTCGGTGGAGTGGAGTATGGCAAAGGCCCGGCTCGAACGAACGATTCTCGATTTCTCTCTCTCTCTCTATCTCTCTATCTTTCTCTATCTCTCTCTATCACACACACACACACACACACACACACACTGTTTTAGGTCTGGCCGCGTTGCGCGCTCGTTCCACGAAGGGAGAGAGTAGCGCGCGACGCGAACCTGCCAGAGGTCCTTTGATCCTCGGCATTCGATGTCGGCAAACAGGAACTCCACTGGTGAACGCAGCCACCGCGCTTTAATACCTCATGCAAATTTCAGGAAAAGGGCGCCGCACACGACCCGGCCCCCTTCCACCCCCACCCTCTTCTCGTCCTTCTCGCTTTCCTTCGTCTCATCCTACTCGAAGCACCGGTGATAGCCGGCTATATTGCTTTTCGAACAAATCGTTATCCGGTTCGTACCGCTTTGCCTCTCTCCATATCGGCAAGTCGACTCTGCCGAGCAAATTTCAAA